CCCCGGCCCTGACCCCCGGCCCCGGGGTTGCCCCGGCCCTGACCTTGCCGTCCCGGTGGCTCCCGTTGACAAACAGCGTCACCCGCCTCATCCCCGCCGACGCCGCCAGGCCGACGCCACCGGAACCGGAAACGACCCGTCTCGAGACCACCCGTTGATTGACGGTGTGTCTGTCCAATGGAGACCAGAGGACCTCCCGGAGTGACTGGGCAAACGACCGTGAGTCGTTGGCGGAGGTTACGGACCGTCCCCGGCAGCGTATAGGGCGGGGCCTGCTCTCTTGATTGACCGGACCCCTACCCAATGCGGTGCGTGATCCTGCAGCTATTGACCATTCAAGGAGCGCGGAGGCGGGAGTCTAGCTGACGGACAGCTGTATGCACCTTTGGAGCAACTCGCCGCTGGTTCACCCACCAATCGAAGGCGAGATTGTGGAAGTTGTCGGGATCAAAGCACCAATCAAAGCGCAGGATGCGCTGATTGACAGGAGAAGTAACCATTTGGCATTAAGGCGGAATCCACAGGCATCGCCGTTGGGTATATTTACTGCCCCCTGCTGCAGGGGAGTGCTCATTACAAACTGCTGCGTGTGTATTTACTGCTCTCTGTTTGTGCGGAGGGTTCATTACCGATTGCTGCAGAGATGTTTACTGCCCCCCGCAGACTGCAAGAGTGGTGTTTACTGCCCCTGGTGGTGTGAACGGTTCATTACAGACTGCAGAATGGGCATTTACTGCCCCGTGCCGGTAGGGAGGGTTCATTACATTCTGCTGGAGGGTATATTTACTGCCCCCTACTGTAGGGAATATTTCATTGCATTCTGCTGAATAGTTACTGTACTACTCGTGTTGGAGGGGTCAGTTCATAGTTAGTCCATTATAGCAAGATGGCAGCTCTCTTCTTCTCTGTATCTTCCTGTTTGTGCTTTTCTTTTATCCTTCTCCATTTTTCTTCTCTTCGATTCCTGGCCTCTGGCGACGATTCCCAGCTTTCAGCGAATGACATTTCCCAGCCTCCGGTGAGCGACGTTTCCCAGTCTCCGGTGAAGACTCCTGTACTCAAGTGACAACTCCCGTCCTCCGGCGACAATTCCCAATCTCCAACAACGATTCCCAGTCTCCGGCAACAATTCCTGGCCTCCGGTGACAATTTCCAGTCTCCGGCAACAGTTCCCAGTCTCCAGCGACGATTCCCAGCCTCCGAATCTGGAACAGCAGTCTCCCAGCCTGGCATGGGGCGTCCTCGCATCGGGACCTCCTGGCATCCCGGTCTCCAGCTGCAGCCTCCCAGCGTGGCGTGTCACTGGTGTGGTCCAGAGCCAGGGCTCGGTGCAGACTGGAAGCTAGCTACCAGTGTGGTCTGTTGTACTGAGCTTTTATTTCTGTAATGCTGGACATTTCATTTCTCTACTGTCTGAGATCTTGTAACTAAAGAAGCTGTGCCTAGGACTTTTATATCTACATTGGTGCTGTACTTGGCGACATATAAACTTTTCACCATTCATTGGGGGTATTTGTGACAATAAAGGCTGTTCTATTCTATTGTCATCCTAGAAAGGTATATATTGTCCCCTACTGGAGGGGATGGTTCATTGCATTCTGCGGGAGGGATATTTACTGCCCCCTGCTGGAGGGGATGGTTTATTACATACTGCTAGTGTAGTATTTAGTCCCCCTGCTGGAGGGGTGGTCTCAATATCTATTGTTGGATTTACTGCCTCTGCTGGAGTGGAGGGTTTATTACATACTGGTGGAGGGGTATTTACTGCCCCTTGCTGGAGTGGAGTGTTCATTAGTTAGTCCTAGAAGAGTATTTACTGCCCCTGCTGGAGGGGAGAGTTCATTACATACTGCCAGGGAGATAATTACTGCCCCCTGCTGGAGAGGTGGCTTCAGTAATACAGCTGGAGAGGTATTTACTACCAGTTCTGAGGAAGGGTCGCCGGACCCAGAACGTTAACCCCCCTGATTTTTTCTTCACAGATGCTGGTAGACCTGCTCAGCTTTTCCAGCAACTTCTGTTTTTGTTTGTGAGGTATTTACTACCCCCTGCTGGAGTGGATGGCTCATTACATACTGCTGGAGGTGTATTTACTGCCCCCTGCTGGAGGGAAGTGTTCATTACATACTGCTGCATGTATATATTTATTGCTACCACCACATCCCACACCCCATGGAGGGTAGTGTTCATTACATTTTGCCAAGGAGTTTTACGATTCCTGCTGATGGGGAGTGTTCACTGCAGATTGCTGGGAGGATATTGACTGCCCGTTGTTGAAGGGTGGTTTCAATACTTTCTGCTTGATGAATATTTACCCCACCTCTGCTGGAGAGGATGGTTCATTTTGTCATGCTGGAGGGGTATTAGCTGCCCCCTGCTGGAGGGGTGGGTTCCATTGCATTCTGTTGGAGGGGTATTTACTGGCCCCTGAAGGAGGAGTGGGTTCCATAATATACTGCTGAAGGGTTATTTACTGCATTACATATTGCTGGAGGGGTTTTACTGCATCCTGCTGGAGGGGAGGGTTAAAGTCACAGAGGTTCTTGAGCACAGTATAAAAGATACATTAGCTGTTTCTACCTTGGTCAAAAACAATCTCACGATTATCAAAAACAATCTATCCCATTTCCAAGCGTTTGGCTCATAGCCTTGTCTGCCTTAGCAAAACAAATGCAAATCTAACTATTTCTTCCGTCACTGGAGTTTTTGGTCTGCCCCTACCACCCTTGTAGGGAGTGTGTTCCAGATTCCAACCACTTTCTGGGTGACAACATTTTTTTCTCACATCCTCGGTAAACTTCCTGCCTCTTACATTGATGCCTCCTGATCAGTGATCCCTCCATTAAGGGGAGAAGTTACTTCCTGTCTACCATATCTATGCCCCTCGTATCTCAATGTCCTTTGCTCAAGGGAAAATAAACCCATTCTATTCAAATTCTCTTCATGACTGAAACTCTCCAGGCCAAGCAAGATCCAGGTAAATCTCCTCTGTAAAACCCTTCAGTGTTAATCTTCACTTCCAGTCGCGAGCAGCAAATCCTCCCCTCCAGCAGGAGGACAGTAAATCCTCCTCACCGGTAGGGGGCAATGAATCCGCCCCTCCAGCAGGGAGCAGTGTAACCTCCCCTCCAGAAGGGGGACAGTGAATCCTCACCTCCTGCAGGGGGCAGTGAATCCTCCCTTCCAGTAGGAAGCAGTGTAACCTCCCCTCCAGAAGGGGGACAGTGAAGCCTCACCTCCTGCAGGGGGCAGTGAATCCTCCCTTCCAGTCGGAAGCAGTGTAACCTCCCCTCCAGAAGGGGGACAGTGAACCCTCACCTCCTGCAGGGGGCAGTGAATCCTCCCTTCCAGTAGGAAGCAGTGTAAACTCCCCTCCAGCAGGGGGCAGTGAATCCTCCCCTCCAACAGGGGGCCATGAACCCTCCCCTCCAGCAGGGGACAGCGAAATGTAACCTCCACATCCTTGCTGCTTTAGCCATTCACCAATGGAGCAGTTACAAGATATTAGGGATTTGTGAAGACAATATGCAAATAACAAGAGGAAAGGGGGAAAGATCTGACAATGTGGTGCAGTACAGATAATTTAGAAACAGGTGGAAGACATTCGGCCCCTCTAGCCAGTTCTGTCATTCAGTTTGACCCCGGCTGACCTGTGACCAAAGTCCATGCACCCATTTATCATCAACTCCTTTAAACTTCCAGACATTCTCTGCCCTTTGATGTCGCAAAGCCCTAACTTGCCTCCTGAAAGCGCCTATATTTAAGCTGCATCTTAGATCCCAAAATAATTTCTAAATACAATAAATTCAGGCTATAGGACTGTAATGTTTATCTTTTAACTTTATTTCCCGAATTTATACAGTGATTTACCGTAATGTAAAACTTTTAGTTTTCTTTTCCTTATTTCTCTATTTTTGTACCTAATCTATTTTAGTAGCTAAGATTTGTAACTAGGTACTTTGTACCCCAGATGGCGCTGTGTGTAGTGATATTATAAACTTTTCACTGTACTCAGTATATGTGACAATAAAATGTTATTCTATTCTCGAACCCTTCAACATGCATATAGCGAGTTTCCTGCTCATATCTATAAGCAACAGTAACACTGTCTATTACCAACTCTCAAACATTGCCGCCCCATGCCAGCTCATTGATTGACCACGCTGGGAGAGTTGGGAAACCGCAGGAGGAGCTGAAATGACACAATTAACAAGAATGCTAAATAATGCAAACTTTATTTTGTCAACTCGTAATAAATAATTGATCTTGATCATGTGTATTTAGTGCACCTTCTGACAATTATAAAACAGGGAATCTGGAAAGAAAAAAAATACATCTATAAAGTACTTTCCTTTGTAAGGAAATTAGCAGGTAGAGTTTCCCCTTAAAACAGGGAATAAAGTCACATTTTCTGTTGCTCCGAGAGCTGGGTGCATAGTGATGGGGTCCAAAGTGATTCAGACAGTTCCTGTTAAGCTGGGGCTGGGTTGCATATCGGCTACAGCCCACAGACCCTGCACCACTCCCCCCACCCTCGCCCTGAGGAAGCCCGGGGCTCTGGAAAGGGGTCAGTGCGGATTATTGATCTGCTCCCCCCTCTTTCTCTGAGATATGGTGGCAGCATTGCGTCGGAGAGAGTTCAGCATCCGCCCTAGACAGGAAACGTTGGCGCTGGCTCGTTACAGGAATGGGGAAGGGACAACGTTTGGGCTGGTTGATCTCCAATAATAATAATTTTTTTAAAAAACCCCACTTCCCCAACCTCAGGTCCCATTGATGGAAACTGATGGAGTAACTGAAGGTTTCTGGGTCAACGCCAAACAGTGACAAGGGCTAGACTTTAGTGAGCGACAACGCGCCATCAAGTTATCGAGCATTTGCAGCCAATGGCAGCCCCACATGGGATCCCAGCCAGAACCCTCTGGAAGACGATGTCCGGCTTTGTCTCTCCCGGTGAGCTCTCAGCGACACAGCACCTCGGTTTCGAACTGCAGCAGCTGGCCCATGAATCCGAAATTGGGCGAGATGACGCCCCGCCGCTGCTTGACAAAGTCGAAGGCCTCCTCCAGGGGGAGCCGCTGAGTGTGGATGAGATATGCCAGGCAGATGGTGGCGGAGCGAGAGATGCCCGCCTGGCAGTGCACCAAGACCTGGCCACCTCGGCTCTTGACCGAATCTGAAAAAGGGGGATAAAGAAAAACAAGCCTCGTTTATTGGTTGCTCGATCTGGTTGGAGTACCCCATGAGGTCCCAATACGCAAATACCCATGTAGAGGGGGAGGGGGAAGAGAGAGAGAGAGGGGGAGAAAGAGACAGCGCATGTTGCAACAGTAACATCATTGGGCTTTGTACTCCATTGGCAATTGGCAACGGAACATTGCTTTCGGTCATGGTGACTACCATCACCAGACTGCCCTAGAAAACTGGTCTGGCATTCCCCCCAACCCCCAACACCCACCACCCCCAATCCCCAACCCCTTCCCATGCCCTCTGGGGGAGCGAAAAGTGCCCTATGCGTGTTTCCAAAATCGCTGGCTACCGTTTAACCGCATCTGCCCTCCGCCATCACCACTTGAGGTGGCTCAAGGGACTGAGGAAGGTGGCACAGTCCTCAGGGGAAATCTCAAACAGGTGTTGCGAGAGAGAGAGAGGGCAGGGTACAGTGCGGGCAGAAAGTCACTGAGGGGCTGGAGAGGTGCCCTCTGGATGGAGTCTACCTCTGTGCTCTCTGGCTACGGGCACTGGGTATGGACAAGAGGCACTGCCCAGGCCTGGCACCTCACCCACCGGAAAGAAACAAGGAGAAGGCAATACCAACGCGCCCGTTCACTCACCGATAAAGTCAATGGCCTCTCGGAACCAGGCGCTGATGTCAGCCATGTGGGTATCTTCGACTGGGATGCACTTGTACTGGAAGATGCCCTCAAAGTAGTTGGGGCAGGTGGACGAGACATTGAGGAGGGCCGTGATGCCCAAAGACTGAAGGGTCTCTTTGCGAGAGGAGTGGTAGGCACTACCCAGGTACAGGAAGGGCAGAATCTCCACTGGGCCACCCTGCAGAGAGAAGAGGTCCCGAAAGGTTAGAGCCTGCCTGCGATGTCCATACTGGTGAGAGGAATGATCCCATGCCCGCTGACTCTAACCTGGCACTACCTCGCACTCACACAACACCGCTCCTCATCTGTAAATGTAATGAAGGTCCCCCAGAAGAACACAAGCAGGCCATTCAGCCCATCGAGTCCTTGCCGCCATCCTCGACTCCATTTTCTCTCCCTCACCCCTCCATAGCCCTTCCTGATTACAACCTATCTCGAACATACTTGAATACACATGACAAGTAGGGTTCACGGCCTGGCCTCTGCGGTAAAGAATTCCACAGATTCGCTCCCCTCGGGAGAGAGAAGAAATTCCTCCTCATCCCTGTCTTCAATGGGGCAACCCCAATTTCTGAGATTACACCTACTGGTCCTAGACTCTCCCACAAGAGGAAACCACCACATCTCTCCCTGTCAAGTCCTCTCTTAAGCCACCTCTCATTCATCTAAATGCCAATGAGTTCATCTCCTTCCTCCACTTTCCCCTGCCCTGCTCAGAGAGCGCACAGAGCTGGCACATTGACCACTATAGACTGAGTGGCCTCGACCCGTGCTCTCTAAGGAAAGCTCCAGCAGCCTTGCCTAGCCCACTCCACAAACCCTCTTTCCCCCCCTAAAAAAATCCCTCTCTGCACCACCCCGCCCCTCCCATTCCATTAACTCACCTGATCATATAGTGGTGTGGTTCTCGACACTAGAGATTCTCCAGAGTTCCCCTGCGGGCAAGGCTTGGCATTCTGCGTGCACATGCCAGGGAACAGTGACTGAAAGGTTTCGTAACCTCCTGCAAAAGAGAGAGAGGATGGTTTAGAAAATAGAACTGGGTAGGTGACAGAAAGACTGGTCCCCTAATAGAACTTCATTGGGCAGTGCACTGTTATGGCTGTAACAGGCCACATTTGGAATTCTGGTCACCCTGCTTATAGGAAGGACGTTATTAAACTGGAAAGGGTACAAAAAAATAAAAAAGATGTTACCGAGGCTATGTGGGCTGGAGTTATTAGGAGAGGTTGGATAGGCTGCCCTGGAGCATACGAGGCTGAGGGGGTGACCTTATGGAAATTTATAAAATCACGAGGGGCATGGATAGGGTGAATAGCCAAGGCCTTTTCCCGCAAAGATTAGGGGAGTTCAGGTTAGCCAAACCCTGATAAGTTTAGCCGTCGTCCATTGAGGTGGGATTTTTCCTGTGCCTGTGTAGAGAGAAAAACTCTCTTGCTTTTGTCTCTCCCTCAAGCTCCCCCTGTCCCCCTCTCCATGGTAGTGGCCACCCTGCTGAATATCTGCACCTGGTTCTATAAACTCCACTGCACTGTTACCCTCTCAATGAGGAAAGGTGCCATCTTTGCCCACAGCGAGATCAGCCATGGAAAGAGATGGGCTTGCATTTCTGATCCAGGACCTGAACTGCATTCTGAAACTCTGCAAGAATCCTTGACAGGGACTCAGACAGAACACGGTCATTTGGAATCGTGGGCAGAAAGGGGCACTGTGTGTGTTTGTAGGGGGTGGTAGATTTTTTTGGGTGGGGTGGGTACACTCAGCTCACACAAGAGGTTAAAAGGGGCAGGCATTACTCTAGAAATGTAATACCACCTCCTCTGTCCTACCCAGAGATATCTAGCGCTCGAGTGACCGTGCCCCTACCTCTGACCCAGGAGAACAAGGTGGGGGGGGGGGGGGGGGGAGGTTCATAATCCCAAATGCTCCAGAACAGGTCCGTTAGAAAATATCTTCCTAAAGAGAGATTTGGAGGGTGAACTAGGTAGTTCAAATCCCACTTGCTCCAAGACAACATTTCTGGGGCCAGGCAAAAGAATTATAGCCATATCTGAACCCCACCCCCTCCACCCCATACCCCCAAAATCGGTAGAATGTGACCTCGCTCTGCTGCTTTGGCACCCTGATGCCACCCTCACCTTTCAGGAAGCAAGTCTGGACCCGGCTGGCATCCAAATGCGAGGAGAGGGTGCTGAGGACCAGCTTGGCCGTGTCGCTGCCCGCCAGCGAGGAAAAACCCGAGCTGCTCCCGTCCAGTACCACGACGGTGTGGTAGCGGCCACAGCTCAGGCCGGTGCGGACGCTCTCCTCGGTCAGGATACAGTCCAGAGCGATGGCCGCTTTAGAGCGGCGCTTGACGATAGAGTTGCAATAGACGTTGTGGGAGCCCCGAATGTGGGAGGCGTTGAAACTCAGAAAGGAACGGCAGTCCAGGACCAGCGAGCACAACTGAGTCTCCACCAATAACTGCATTAACTGGCAGCTATCGATCTCCAGCAATTCGGTGGTGACCATGTTTCTAGAGGAGTTGGAGAAATGACTCTTCCCTTTCTCACGCGAATGTCTGTGGAAACAAGAAAAAACAACCGTACCGTTAATAGCTGTGTCAGTTTTCAATTTCCAACCCGTTAAAGTCATTTCTGAACAACAACAACAAAAAAAATCACCATTTTTACGGCTCCCCTGATTTAAAACTCCAGTTTCTCTTTCGAAAGTTAGATTCCCACGTTAAATTTCATCCAACACAATACTGAAAGTTTCTGAAGATTGGCAAAAGGAAATCTTTTGCTTTCCCTTTTCTTTTAAAAAAAAGGGGGTCCGTAATGCACAGACACTTTGTTGTTTTTTTCTTTGTTTCTTCCCCCCAAACAAAAAAAACTTTCCACACTCCAGCTTGGATTTGATGCCAGGCCCGTTGGAGAAGCTGATGACCCGCCAGGTTTCCTGACGAGCCCCCAGAAAGGCAGCAGACAGCGTTAGCGACGGGCCGAATGTCCGCGAATTCTGTGGGTTGTTTTAACTGAAGGGGCCGAATAAGCTCCACGATTGAAAGGGGTTGTGGGGGGGGTGGGGGGGGGTAGAAATATGAAAAATAAAACCTTTTCAGCAGCAAAAGAGACTGATTTCCTACAGACTGATTCCAAATGCAGCAAAATACTCACATTCAGGGTCAGCAGGAGGAGGAGGAGGAGGAGGATTGAGGGCTGACAGGGATTCTTTGGTACAGTTACTTCTCTGAACGAGCCCCTCAACTAGCCTCTCGCTTTATATAAGCACTGAGCCCCGGAACCCCCGCTGGGAGCCTGTCCTTATTAGGGCACTGTCGTCACAGGGATTCCCTCCTCCTCCCCGCCCGACCTGTCCATATTAGGAAGGGAGACGTCACCGCACGCGGGCCCAGGAAACACCCCGCCCCCGGGAAGTTGACGTGTGAAGGCGTGTTCTCACCTACCATCTCCGAATGATTACCTCTCTCTCTCTCTCTCTCTGTGTCTACGTGTGCGCTAGAGGCTGCTGCATTTGTATTGCCGCCTGCCTTGGTCATTGCCAGCCTGCATTTGTATTGCCACCCGCATTGGGCATGGCATGATGCATTTGTATTGCCACCCACACTGGACATGGCATGATGCATTTGTA